TATATTATTATTTATATTATTATTTATATTATTATTTATATTATTATTTATTTTATTTATTTTATTTATTTTTTTTTCTTCTTCTTTTTCTTTTGTAAAATAAATCTCTTTAGGTCCATAAGATAAAAATTTATGCTGTATACCGCTGTACGTACACCGCAAAAAAAAAGAACTAATTAATTAATTAATTAATTAATTTAATTAATTAATTAATTTAATTAATTAATTAATTAATTAATTAAAAAAGAATAATAAATAAAGAGACAAAAAGAGGTTTTTTATGATTATAAATATGTATATATAATTAACTTATTATTAACCCTAAACCCTAAACCCTAAACCCTCGTAAACCCTCATAAACCCTAACTAACCCTAAAAGGCCCAAATAAACCCTAAACCCTAAACCCTAAACCCTTGAAAGAGTTACTTACAATTCGTTAGTGTCTTCCCCTAATACTCTATAAGCAACAAAATAACCAGCAAATATTTTATTAAATATTTCTTTTTTTTTATTTATTTTTTTATTTTTTTCTTCTTTTTTTCCTCCTTCTTCTCCTTTATATATATTTATTTCTTCTTCTTTTTCTTCGTTCTCTTCTTCTCCTCTTAATACTACACGACCGCTGCTGTCCCACTGTAACACACATAAAAAAAAAAGGGTTTAGGGTTTAGGGTTTAGGGTTTAGGGTTTAGGGTTTAGGGTTTAGGGTTTTATGTATTAAATAAATTAATTAACTAAATGAATAAGCTGATTAACAATTTAGCTAGTTAGGTAAATAATTAACTATTTATTTAATATAAATTAAATAAAATAAATAAATAAATAAATAAATAAATAAATAAATAAATAAATAAATAAATAAATAAATAAATAATCATAATAACTTACCACCTCTACATTTGCTGGTAAGTCATTGTGACCCTTTCCTCCCTAAGAAAAAAAAAAAGAAAAAATTAAATAAATAAATAAATAAATAAATAAATAAATAAATAAATAAATATAATAATAATAATAAAAATAAAAAAGAAATAAAAAAAAAGAGAATAATTTGGTGTTAGTATTGCTTACTTGCTGCTGCTGCTGCTGCTGCTGCAGCAGGAAGACGGGCCCCACAATTGCTGCTGCATGCAGCAGCACTTTACCATTAAATAAATTAATAGTTGGTGTCTCTGTGTACCCTAATATACCATTTAATTCAATACCTGCTGCTGCTGCTGCTGCTGCTGCTGTTGCTGCTCCTCCTCCTGCTCCTGTTGCTCCTGCTGCTGCTGCTCGTGCTGCTGAACTACGCAGCAATCGGAAAACAACCCTGTAAATACACGCAAAAGCAGCAGCAGCAGCAGCAGCAGCATATGCAGCAAGTGCAGCAGCAAATGTAGCAGCAAATGCAGCAGCAGCAGCAGCAGCAGCAGACCATCTGCTGCATATAGATTATACTCTAACAACAACACATGCAGCAAAACCACTCGCAGCACCAACAGCAGCAGCAGCAGCAAATCCAGCAGCAGCAGCGGCAGCAGCAGCAGCGCGAATCTCACTCTGTATCAGCAGAACTGTTGTCTGCAGCAGCAGCAGCACCACCACCAGCAGCAGCAGCAGCAGCAGCAGCAGCAGCAGCAGGTTCTACTGTTCCTGTTAAATGTAACTCTGGTAAGGAAACTGCGTTATCATCAATCCATAGAGGCAGATAGCAGTCGCTGCTGCTGTTGCTGCTGCTGCTGCTGCTGCTGTTCCTGCTGCTGCTGCTGCTGCTGCTGCTGCTGCTTGCAGCACTTAGAGGAGATAATAAATTAAATTCTTGTAATATACCATCAGGTAATCTTATATGCCATACACCCTCAAGGTGCTGCATCCAATGAGGAGCAGCAGCTGTATCTGCTGCTTCTGCTGCTGCTGCTTCTGCTGCTGCTGCTGCTGCTATGGCTCCTGCTGCTGCTGTGGTTGAGTTGGGGCGCGCATGCGGCAGCAGCAGCAGCTGCTGCTGCTGCTGCTGCTGCTGCTGTCGGATGACACTGCGGTAGTCAACAGATGGCCTCCATGCTGTAGCAGGTGAAGCCCTGTTGCTGTGTGCTGTTGTTGTTGCTGCTGCTGCTGCTGTTGCTGCTTTTGCTGCTGCTGCTGCTGCTGCTGCTGTAGAAGGATTCAAGGAGGGGATGAAGGCGCTGAATGGTGCTGCTGCTTGCTGCTGCGACGGCAGCAGCAGCAGCTCGCGACGACAGATGAAGCGGCAGGCAGAAGAGAGCTGGAGGTCAGCAAACAGCAGCAGCAGCAGCAGCAACAGCAGCAGCAGCAGCAGCAGCTGGAGAGGGGGGCCCCCCCTCCCTAGCATGGTGTGCCTTTGTTGTTGTTTGCTGTTATAATTGCTGCTGCTGCTGCTGCTGTTATTACATTGTATTTATTATTATATAGACTATAAAGAGAAGAATAAATATAACACAGAGAGAAGAATGCAGGGAGGGGGGGCCCCCCTTCCTGCATTCGGGGGGGGGCCCCCCTTCC